TATGTCGATTCTGCAGGAAGTGTGGATAATTACCTACCCCTGGTTGACATGAAGTTTGTATTTGCGGATACAAAAACTAAGTACAATATTATCTAACTTGTACGGTCCACGTTAAGTTTTTTCACGTAACCTGTACGGTCCAGGCCACGGGTCCCAAGGGGTTAACGGTGTTGGAAGGGCGCGCAGCGGCGTGGCCTGTGATAATGTCTGTCACCACTTAATGAATTTCTTGAGAATTCGCAATACCATCACGCGTGTGCTCGTCCATGTAGACGCTTCGAAACAATCTCTACGGGGGGGCGCCTGCGAGTGGTCGCTGTCGATCAGAGACTGGTGAGTTGGCGAAAAGAATTGGTTGCTAGAGCAATTTTACTAAAGTTTTATCTATAGAGATACAAAATTAAATACCTTAAGTATTTCGCAACTGCTTTGTCCAATGCCTTCAGACCTAAAGTTTCGATCGAAAGACACCGTCCGTCTCGTGGGGAGACATATCCTCGAGCCTCGGTGCATCGGCAACGGCCCGCTGACAATGTAAAGCCATCACCAAGACAAGATGGCGGTGGATACAGTGGACAGATGGCTCTGCAGCGTCCGTCAACAGCGTGGCCCGCGACGCCGTGAGCGTGTCGTGTTCGCCTCAGCTGAACAAACGTCCAGAATACGCCGCTAGATATGCCTTCACTTTGCTCTTGAAGACACTGCAGCATCCTGCGCAATTGTAACAGCCAAAAATAAAGTTACTTTTCAAAAAAGTATAATTGTAATTGCGACCGGCAAAAACGTACCTTCAATTGGGTTCAGCTTTGGGGAGTAGGCCCCCAACCTTAGCAAGATAGTGTTGTCGTGCTCTCCCAGCTCCTCTTCAAGCCGACTCTCGGTTAGATTGTTGGCGGGAGCATTGTCGAGCACAATGACAAATTTCCGCCCTCCAATTTACTGCTAAAAGCTCTTCAAACCTTTGACGGTGGTGTAAATGCGCAGACTCCGCATTTTCTTCCATGCGGATGCTCCCCGGTGCAGCACGAGGCCATCTTCAGTTGACACTGCGCACTGAACTTGCAAGTTCTTGCCCTACGAGGGGAGACGCTTGACGACAGCGCGCTCTTCTTTCACAGCGCGTCCATGCGAGCGCATACAAAAAAAGATTGTAAATCGTTTCGTCGTAATACACAATCTAGTCGCTGCCCACAATGCCTTTAATAAGCTGTTCCGCAAACGTCAACAACTCGCTCGCTATGTCGCTCTAACGAGAGCGTGCAGTCTTCTTTCAGGGATGACTCCATCGCAATGATCATTTGATCTGTGCACTTTGTTGAGGCGTCGCGCACACCGCCGCGCACCTAGATGGAGTAAGATCGCCAGACTTGCAGAGACGATAGGCTGCAGAGCGCAGCATTCCGCTGTGCATGGCGACTGTAAGCCAAACTTCCCCATCTACGTAAGTGCTCAGAGCGCATCGGTGCGCCTTCTCCGTGGCAGTACGCTGCGGCTTTGGAGAGAGAGCAGCGGCGACGCAGCGATATGACGACGTGGTGGTTGAGGCATGTGCTATATTTGATCGTCTTTGAAAAGGAGTTTTTTTCATAATGAACGTGTAAGTGAAATAAATGTCGTTTTTTTTTACTGGTTTAGGTAATATACTCCCCGACTCTCGCGCGCCCCGGATAACTCTGGTGGGCGTCCCAGTTTGGACTGGAATTGGTGTAGTTTGAATTAGAACCCAAGCTAAACTTACTTATAAATCCATCAGTCTTACATCTACTCTTGTAAGTAGCAAACCGGTCTCTCTGAGGCCGAGAATTAACGTTCACTCGGGTAGTAAATATCCTTAAGCACTTCCTCTGTGCAAGGTGCTGTGTGAATCCGTCACAGCCAGGGCTGCCCTCGCCGACTCAACTCTCGGGCCGGCACCGCGCTCGCGTACCGCCTATCGACTTGACTCATCGAGTCCGACGATAACTGTGAATGGGCTGATCTTTTGCCCCATGACCTGTACGTATAAGGAAAGCAATAAATACCGGCAATCACTGGAGGGCATTCTACGAACTTTGCAGCGTGATACAGTATCACTGGTTTCCACAGACAAAAGTCGATTTAATTCGTAGTAAACGTTTCAAAACATATATGCTATTTTCAGATTTACCCACACTATCTCACATCTAGTACCACATGAATACCACCATAAGCTTTATTGTGGGAAATGTGAGAACCACCATTTAAGATGTCTCCGTGGTAATAAACAGTGTTCATTAGAGGTCACGTACCTGGAACAATTTACTGAAGTAACGCCTGTCACCCACCTGTTTTTCAGAATTCGTTTTTCTGTTTATTCAGCCGCTTCTTTTGCAGCGAGATTGCGAATGGATCACATAACGCAAGCAATTTAGCCCACTTTCGCCGGCTTGTACTACCGTACTTATAATTGATGAGGGAGCTGTGTGTCCTTTGCTCGCTCATCAAATTATTGCACCTCTAAATAGTCATACTTTATTACGCCGATTTCAACTGAAGAAAGTTGGTACAATAGAGTAGCATCGTATGGTGTCTTGCTGGTGCGTTGGGCATAGCTCATTGACTGTTAGTAAAGCTGATCACTTGAAAGGACTAGTCATCCTAAAGTAGAGACCGAAGCACAAAAAGACTAGCAACGGAATGGGTGGTAGTCTCGGATATTGATGATCATTAGGTCACTAACAGAACACAATATACCTAACTTGAAATTGAAATTGAATTGATCACTTGAAAGCAGCAGAAGGAATGAAATATAACGTCCGCAGCTCGAGTTTGATGCACTAAACATTAGTGTTATTACGAAGTACAATGGTAAAACTCAAGGCTTGAGTTTCGGCCGACATAGCAGTGTAATAAAAATTTCTGGGTAGTACGATTGTTGTTAGTGGAGATGTACGCTTGCCTATGCCTTGCTTCCGCCAACAGCGTATCATACATGTACAGACCTCTGTAGACCTACGTATCAAACATGATCACTTTTGGAAAAACTAGTGTACCTAAACATACCCTTAGTTAGGAATACAAATCTTATCCGGAGCTCAGGATTTTGCCAGTGATCTGCACTACCCGCCAGAGGAGAGACTCTACTGTGTCTGAACTGAGGACACTGTCGGTCAGCTTTCGATTTCTTGTTCAGGACACCTTAAGACCAAATATGCGTCTAACTTACGCTCTGTTGGCAACTGGAATAGTGCTCTTTGCCGACACCGACATCGTCTCAGCAGCCAGGGAGACCACCGAGAACTCACCGATAGACGCCCCACTCGTGGTCCACTCGCCACATTTCCAAAGAGAAGACGATTTTGGCAAGAGATTCCTGCGAAACACGGTTCAAACTAACGATGGAGCTGAAGATTCAGAGGAAAAGATGTTTGCTCCAATGATTAATGGGCTTCTCGGAAAGGTGGGGTCTGTTGTCGAGACCGGCGGACCCAGCGCGGTTAGGGAGGCTATGAAGCTGGAGCAGTACCAGCAATGGTTGAGGGCTGGATTGACGCCGCGGCGTGTCCAAAGTCAAGTGAGCGCCGCCCTGGGTGTGAACAAGAAGTCGTCGCAGGCACTTGGCTATATTCTGAGAAGCAAGGATTCCGACCAGTACCTTAAGTTCATGGTTGACTATCGGGGGCGAAAACCAGGAAGTAAAATTCCAAAGCCGGCGTCACAGATGGAGAAATATGAGCTGTGGTTGTATGCTGGATTAACGCCGTCCCAGGTGCAGAGTGCAGTGAACGCCCTCAGTGCGAAGAGAACGCCGCTACAGGGGCTTGGCTATGTTCTGAGAAGCAGGGATTCCGACCAATATCTCAAGTTTATTGTTGATTTCCAACTACATCAGCCAGGGACTAAAATTCCAAAGCCTGCGTCACAAATGCAGAAGTACGAATTGTGGCATTATGCAGGATTAACGCCGTCCCAAGTTCGAGTGGAGGTCCTGAAGAAAGACCCGTCTCAGCCACTTCGTACTATCCTGATGCGCAAGGATTCCGAGCAGTATCTCAAGTTCGCTGTCAACTACAAGAGAAACCAGCCTGGGAGCAAGATCTCGAAGCCGGTGTCTGAGATGGAGAAATCCGAACTGTGGCTCCATGCTGGATTGAAGTGCGTGTGTTTATCCTGCAGAAAACGCAAAGGGGTGTTAAGAAAGATAAGGACTTCTCCAAGTTTATGACCGCGTACAACCGGCAGATCCGGAACGTACCAGCAAAATCCTGAAAGGGTTATATTTTACACAGTATTATCCATGAAAAACTTTAGAGCTGAAGTTTTAATGGAAGGAAAATCGAGTTTTTTTGAACTCAGAGATCGACTCTATTAATATGCTTCATACATCCGATTGTTCTTTAGTCACACTGTGATGGTATCAAAAGTCACGCCTGCCACGGATACGTCGCTCACGGAGGTCAGATGCCCTTCACCCACTACCAACGATGCTGCTGTACATTACTCGATGGCGAAGCACCGACTATCCGCAAGCTCGAAGAAGCGGCCGCGAGCGCAAATTGAGAATGGGCCACCCAGTGAGGCATTGAGGAGACGAAAAGCGACACTTTTTGCAGCGGTAGCAGCCAGGCGACTGAATGCAAGGAACCCTCTGAGTCTCAATGAAGAAGTTGGGGAAGAGTATATGCGTCGATTACGCGCTCTCTTTAATGCTTGTGACGCTGACGACGATGGCGCAATAATGACGAACGAGTTGTCTGTCTTCTTGGAACTCATGGGAATCACCACAGCGGAATCTCCAGTGCTTGGAATATCAACAAGCGATCTAAGAGATCAGACTATAACCTACGACTCATTCTTGGAAAGGTATCGACATGTTATTGTACGGTGTTCGCAAGAGCGAAGAGCACTCCCTTCCACAAGATTTGTGGCTCGATGTAAGGCGCTGAAAAACGCATACAATCGCTGCGATACCGACGGCAGTCACGAGATCTCATCAACCGAGCTGGAAATCGCACTACAGAAGCTTGGGCTCGTTTTTAGTGATGAAGAACTTGATGCGATTTGGGTGCGACTGGACCCCAATGGTGACGGGCGCATCGAATGGAGCGACTTTTTGTATGCGGCGTGGCAGGACTCACGGGGTGATCAGCGAACCGGCACTTCCGAATTGCACAAGTATTTTTCCGTTGATCTCTTTACTGAGTTACCGTCTTTTATACATACTTCGGCTGATAGACAACAGCGACGACCAACGCGCAAGCGCTTGAAACGGGGGCCCAAAGCCCCCGAAGCCGACGAGACGGCCAACGAATCGTCGAATAGTTATATTTCTCGAATGGAACGTATAGGTGTCGAGTACCTCACGCGTGTGTCAAAGGAACGTGTGAAACGGGTGAAGCGAGCGACGCTTGCGGTCAGTCTGTCTGCTCGTTTTGGAACATGGGCACGAGCTTCACAGACTCTGCCCGTAGATGAACAATACGCTGTCGCGCCTCCTCAATCTCTCTTGGTTTCCGCTAAGAGAAAGCCTACTTTCCATGGTGGTCTGCATCTTCAAAATCAGGAAAACATACCTGATCGTCGATATGGCTTCTCTCCTGAGGTTATGTGTCAGCTTCGCAACATCGAATGGTCAGGAACAACGCTGGGTTTCTTGATAGGACTCTCGTGTGGACTCGTTTCTATGGGCATAGAGAGTTTGTTACCTTCTCATCTTGCGGGCGATGAAGTGTGGGGCTTGAATGGCCACGTGTTGCTCATCAATATCGCTGTGTCACTGCTTGAAGTGACGTTGCTCTATACGATGGCTGTGGCTTGCGCGTTCAGACTGACTGTTAGTGCCGGTCTCATCTTATACCCTCTAGACCATGAGCGTGAGTTTCTCGCTCGCGCCGTCGCACGCGCAGCTTTACAAGTTGGACATCGTAAAGATACGCTTTTTGGAATGGACCCAATGCGTGGATCTCCGCGACTCGTGTTGCTGATGACTTATCTCGTGTTTAAAAGCAAACGGTATGTGGTTAAATTCCTATTCAAGCTCTTTATTAAGCGTGTTCTGTGGCGCGCTGCCGCACGCTCCGCGCTGAACGCTACTGTACTTCCGATCCAAGGTCTCTTAAATGCCTGGACAATACGACGTGTGCTGCGGAACTGCCGAATTAATATCGTTGGACCACCATGCGCGATCGAGGCCCTCGAGAGCTTTCTGTTGGAGGACGCGTGCTTCAAACCAGCTCAGCGAGTCGACTACATGCGTATCATGGGATGCTGTCTCGTGTGTAAGCGGATGGTACACCCGAACATGGAGATTATGGTAGAACATTTGCGACACCGTTGGATCAACGCAGACGCGTGGCCCGTAAGCGACGACGGCTGCACGTGTCTGCAAGAGTCCTCGGAACGATGTCCAGCCCACGTACTGGACGACATCGACGTCTTAATTACCGACCTTCGTTTATTAGGCAACAGCAATCCAGCGGCACCATCCGTCTCACCAACTGCTTCAGCGTCATCGTTGCTCTTGCTCTCGTCGTACCACCTTCGCAACCTCTTTTTCCTGCTCATCGTGTCGCTTGTCATCGACGGCAGCTTGGACTGGGGGGAGCGACGTTTCTACGTGCGCATATGTGAGGCGGCGGGTGTGGAGAATCACTGGAGCGGCGTACTCAAGCTGAAGGAGGCGTTCGTGCACGGACAAGGCTTGGATGTGGAGGCCATCTTCTCGCTGGTACAATTCGAGAAGGATGTGGAGATGCACTACAGCACCGAGGAATCGTACAGCGTACCGTGGCGCGAATCTGTGTCGTACCTAAGCAACCGCGTGGCGCGACTCCTGTCGTGTTGAGGGTGACCTTTCGCTATACAATATAGGAGGTTAAATATATTTTCTGAGAGGTAATTACAGATTTTACTGCATAAGTATCGGTTTGTCGATAATTCAGATGCTGCGGTGAAGCGCCACGGTAGTCGTACGTGCTGGCAGGATCTCGCGATCTTTGCTGTACCGATTGACGTCAATTGAGGGCTCAGTAAGATTCATCGATACTGCCACGACTCTCTCTGCGATTCTCGAGGTCTAAAACGGTTTTCGTTTTAACCTTCGAATTACACATAGAGCTCGAAGACGAAGCAGCCAACGCGCTGAGACAGCACCAGCGATTTCCTATCTACTATTAACAAGGTTGAAAAGAGGTGGAAACAATACGTGTATCAAATTCTTCATGTGAAGCGCTTCATTGATAACTTTACCCATTATCCAGTAGCCTGCTTCATGTTGACAGAGGCTCATTCCGGGCGAATGCAAATTCTTAGCGTTCTGGATGTGCTACGCGCTTTCCGTGTTGCATGTGGGGTTCATGCGGTGTCTGACCGTAAAGCGTCAACACTTTGTTGCATTGAGCAGTTGCTGCACATCTACATTTAATGTAAACCGATACAGAAGTCCCTCAATAAGCGTAGGGGGCAATCTGATAAATTTTTATAGGAAAAGCACAGATACATGTATCTAGTGATCTGTCAAATATACCTTCAATCTATGGGATTCGTCATAAAGGGGTACAGTATATCTACGCTTACGCATGTCGCGGTACATGTATGTGTATCACGCTGTTTGATTTTCTTAAATTTTTAAAAGTATTACGTACAGGTTGTTTGCTGTGAGGATTTGTCCAGTGCGCCTGACCTCGCTCGAGGCGTCTAAGCTTGCTTTTCGCTGTCGGACTCAGTTGAAAGCAGCAACACTGGAATGATACCAGCAATCCGTGTTGGAGTCGATATGCCTCGTACACACGGCTTTGCTCGCGGCATGATGAGTGCGTTAAGCCATGTCCGAATTGGTCGATTAGACTTGGCATCCTATCGATGGGAAGCATGTGCATTTTGCGTCAACAGCTACGCCTGACCTTGAGGAGACCAATCGACACGTTTGGAAGAGCATGTACATGGCACGGTCTTCCCATTCCAGGTCGCATGACAGAACTGGCGTCAGCTATTAGAACAAAAGCGTATCGAAAGCTAGTCGGGGCTCCAACGAACAGAGCTCTTTCCGTGACAGCTGATGTGACCAAGCAGCAGCGCCAACGCCCCCGTTGTCATCAATGATCCCTCTACGCTTGATCTCTCGCCGACGTATTATAGTAAATATGTCGCTTGCCAATCTGCTAAGTACTGTATCTGTAACCTGGTACACTGTGTCCAGCATCCGAACAGCATGTGCCTGACCTCAACGCGCCTCATCTATGGTAAGGTCATCTGGAATTGATGGTCTGCAACGGCGGAAAACAAGCAAAAATAACGGATGGCAGGTTTGCCTTAAGCTGATACTGGCTCAGAAAGTCATCACCAAGCGTCACATTGGACCGAGCGCAACAAGTTTATAGAGGTCCCTGATATCCCGAAAACTTGGAGGCCACTTTCAGTGGATAACAGACATACACGTTCGGGCCTCACTCTTCCTCAACAGCATTGCTACAATTTTGTCGTGGACCTCTGCTGTCTTCATTGCCATTCCACAATTCGCCCTCCACCGGTCAAGCCACTCACCAACATGGTGTGCACCCACCAAGAGCTCGAGACACCAACCGACCAGGAATGGTCATCGCCTGCATTGAACAAACCTGTCAACATTGCCACCTCTACTCGCACCCAGAAGCCTCTACGCCAGAAGAATGACGATGAAGAGGAGAAATCTCCCGACTGCTCAACCGGTTCCTCGTCTTTAGCCTTAGACGCTTCATTCGGCATTGAGACTACCGACGTCGAGCACGTTCTGCGTGACATGGCTGACAACATGATCGGACGTAACATTCCTTTCCAGTCTCCATTCGGTACCAAGGCCCAAGTCTACGCTGACTACACTGCCAGTGGTAAATCGCTCGAATGTATCGAGAAGTTCATCCACGACCACGTCATGCCCACCTACGGCAACACGCACACCACCACGTCCGTCACGGGACTTCAAACCACGTCGTTCCGAGAAGAAGCTCGTCAAGTCATCGCCCGTGCCGTCAACGCACGTGACAACAAGGACGTGGTCATCTTTGCGGGTCAGGGCTGTACCAGCGCGATTGACAAGCTGGTCACGGCTCTCAGCATCAACAAAGGCCGTCGACGTCACCGACCCTACAAGCGGCCGGTGATCTTCACGTGCCCATTCTCCCACCACTCGAACCTGTTGCCGTGGCGAGAGAGTCCGTGTGCTGACGAGGTGCAAATCCCCGAGGCGGAAGGCGGCGGTCTCGACTTGAAGGAGCTGGAACGGCAGCTTCAACGTCACCAGAACCGACCGCTCAAGATCGGCTCGTTCGCAGCGGCCTCCAACCTCACGGGGATGCTGATCAACGTAGACGAGGTGTCTACACTACTGCACAAATACGGCGCTCTGGCCTGTTGGGACTACGCCACGTGTGCTCCTTACGTCGACATCGACATGAACCCCAATGACGACCCTCTCGCTTTCAAAGACGCCGTGTTCTTCTCTGGCCACAAGTTCGTCGGTGGACCAGGTTCTCCCGGGGTGTTGGTAGTGAAGAAAAATCTCATGAATAACCAGGTACCGACGATGCCGGGTGGCGGCACGGTGCTCTTTGTCACCGAGAAAGCCCATAGTTACCTTGCTAACAAGGTGGAACGAGAAGAGGGCGGCACTCCGGATATTATCGGTAGTATCCGTCTTGGTCTGGCCTTCCAGCTCAAACAACACGTGGGTCCTGGACGTATCATGGATCTAGAGCGTCAACACGTCCAACATGTCCGTGAATCGCTCGGTCGCAACAAAAATATCATCCTGCTAGGCCGACAGACGGACGACGTGGATCAGCTCCCTATTTTCTCTATGATGATCCGCTTTGGCGATCGTTTCCTACACCACAACTTTGTGTGTGCATTATTTAACGACATGTTCGGGGTGCAAGCTCGTGGAGGGTGCCAATGTGCTGGCCCTTTTGGCTCTCGTCTACTGGGCTTAAGTCGTGATCATATCGTCGATTTGGGCCACGCAGTTGTCGCCAAGCACGAGATTCTCAAACCGGGTGTTGCCCGAATGAGTTTCCCCTATTTTGCCGACGAGGGTGAGGTGGACTATGTATTGAAGGCAGTACACTTCGTGGCCGACCACGGATGGAAATTCCTACCGCAGTACGACTTCAACTGCCGAACTGGAGTATGGCGTCATGTTTCACGGGCAGATATCGCCTTCCCCGACCAGAAGCGCTTGTCGGACATGCAGATCGAAGACGTGGAGACTGTGCGCTCGTCGATTGTCGCTGAACCCATTCGTGACTTGGCTACACACAGGCAAGAGAACCTCGAGCAAGCGGCTAAGCTTGCATACCGCTCCATCCAAGAGGCCGCGGAATCTGATTTTTTGCAGAGTGAGAAGGTTGCGGACATTTACGAGGGACTACGATGGTTCGCATACCCCTGTGAGGCTGTTGCTGCATTCCAAGAGCTGGGTGACAGCCCTCCGCTATCGGACGAGATCAGTGGTCCGTGCCAACCGCAACGCTACTTTGATCCCGCGATTAATCACGTTTGGGACGGCGTGCCGACGTTGGCGACTATGAAACGGCACAAGGTGGTGATGGCGGCGCGCATGCTGATCCTTCGCTGTATGCCAGGACAGGGCTCTCCGTTGTTGATGGACATGACGCCGGTCACGGATTCAGAGGACGAAAGTGGCAGTGAAGCTGAGAACTCGCCGAAGCACGTGTAAGACTCAAATACAGATAACTTACCTTGCATTTAGAAAAGGCCCATCGTAATGTTTAGCGTAGATTTGCTGCTTAAGGTTTCTGAGGTCGTTTTTTAAAGTACAGACAATCCTCTTTGAAGTGATACTCCAAATTGTGATACTCTTGTTAGGGTATACTTATGAAAAAGTATACCGTATATAATTTGGTAGAACCCTTACCGGCAACTTGAAGGGTACACTGTACCACTTACCGGCAACTTGAAGGGTACACTGCACCACTTACCGGCAACTTGAAGGGTACACTGTACCAAAAGCACGTCTGAGTACAAGTTCAACGAGCGACCTGCGATCCCTGCGCCCTTTGCCATCCCCGCCGAGTCCATGGTAGGCCCATATCGCAACGGTTCCGACACCTTAGCTTTTCCGACACTTTCCGACAATTTGGTAACAGGAAAAAGAAGAGCCCACAACTTGTAAGCAACATACAGCATATGAGACCGCGCAAAACACTCTAATGCTAGCCAACCATTTAAAAAAAAAAAAAAAAAAGTTAGGCACACCATCGCAAAGCTGAATGTCTCCTCTACAAAATGAGACCTTGCGGAAAAAAATTTATTCAGCCGTTTTCACACAAAGTTGGTTTGAAAAAGTTGTCTCCGATTCGCCGAGACAAACTTAAAAATTTTTTATTGGTCAATTCTGTCTAAAATTGTTATACGAATCGATTGGGACCACTCCGAAGCTTTAATTCGGAGCCAATCCCAGCTAAAAAGCTTTGCAAAAACATTTCCTCCACAAATCCAGGTGTAGGTTACCAGCTAGTCCGCGATTTCACGAGTGCATTTCTTCTTCTGCTGAGTTGGCTTCTTTCCCTGTGCTTCACCAGTTACTTTCTGCTACATCAGTTCCAGACTCAGACGCTGCCGCCCTCTCACGCTTTTTTTTCTTCGCTGCCTCTTTGCGCTTCTCGGCACGAGCCTTCTGAATCTCTTTCGCCTTACGTTCATCCTCATCGTTGGGCGGGTCGTACAGTGGGTCGTTGACAAACTCCTCAGGAACGTAGCGACGCACCTGGTGGTAGATGGTCTGAATCTTCTCAGAGTTTGGCGGTGGCTTCGGCAGTGGTTCGAGATCAGTCGTAAAGAGCATTTGTACGCGAGTTGCATCCGTCACAATTCCGTCATACTTTCGGCGCAGATCTTGGACGACAGCGTCAGAGGCAGGGCCCTCCTTGCACACAACTACGCCTGGAGTGTCCTCGCGCATCTCAAATAGCTGATACTTCTGTATACCGGCAAGAATCTTGTAGGCATCCTTGACCACATCTCGATATTCTTTGAAAATATGATTTTCCGCCTCAATGTGCACTAGAGCAGACGTAGATGATGCCTCGTTGACCGCTTCAATAAGTTGGCCCGTCGTCCAGATATCCAAACGGGCCAAGTGCTTCCGCACATGACCAAAACCACGGTCCACGGCATTCTTAGTGTGCCCTTTGACAAAAAATTTCAGCTTAAACACCTCAAGGTCGGACATATGGGTCAGTGCCAACAGCATTCGTACGACGTAATTGTTCTTGTTCTGGCCGCCACAATTGTCTGCATAGATCGTGAGACGACGAAACCCAGCAGGTAGAATGATGCGGCGGATGAAGTGGTGCAGCATTGAGTTCACTTCGTCAGTCCCCTTCCCAGCGACGGTCGTCGTACACGTAATTGTACTGCATCGCCTTGTTTGCGTAGTAAATTCCAAACATGTTCACACTTCGCAGCGACAGGAAGTACCATTGCGACGGAGTGCTGCTGATACTAGGTAGCGTGAGGTTTTGACTGAAGTCCATGATGATAACAGCGTGTTCTTCGTCTGCCGACGCAAGATCCTTCTTGTATTCTTCCCTACAAATCGAAATGACGTTAATATCCGCCCATTCAACATACGTGCAAATTAAAATGATTCTAGTGTCCACAGTACCTCATCAGTCTCGCAGCAGCAGTATGCTTTCCGAATTCTTCCGTCTCAGCCGCAGTAGCTCCACTACGCATGCGTGCCCAGTAAATGCTGCACACATCGCATACGTTGCTGCGTGGAGAGCGAATGCGAATGGTAGGGCAGAGCTTGGACAAGTACTGGCGAAAGGTGCTGGGTCTAGGCTCCCGCACGCGTAAACGAATTTGCTCAACGTAGTTGTGCATCTCTTGGTATAGTTGATCCCACGTGAAATACGGCGGCAGCAAAGTGTATTCTGCGTCGGAATAGTACAGTTTGACGGCTCCGTTCTCAGTTTTCTGCTTTCTCACGCGTACTGGTACCACATCACCGACAGAGCGAGCAAATTCTTCAAACCAGGATTTCAGCCAGCGGAGGTCAACTGCACTCGCGTGCTGGTTAAGTCGATTGCCGTGAGCTTTAATGGAAAATATGCTTTCTTTAATACGCGTTCTGTAGCGCGTGACAGTCGCTGTTGACACGCCGTAGCATGCACACCACGCCCACCGACACACACGGCCAACCATAGGAAGATAGTAGTGAAACTGCTGTCGTAAACCATGATCTCGATGACGAAGAACGGTGTCCGTCTGCATAAGCACCGCCAACGTTGTGATGATACTTTGCTTTTTCTCCCCACTCGTCATTTGAGAAATTGAGCACAATAGCTGCTCAATCTCCTTTGCCTTGCCCGTCAAGCACTTCTGCTCGCACTGATCTTTGCGTATGAGCCGACTCACTTGCTCTCTAAGTTCTTCGCCAATCAAAATGATCCTAGTATCCCCAAGGTCATCAACTTCTTCTTCACTTGAATCGGCGATCTCACCCCCACTTGACCCATCGTCTGCCTCTGGAACCCAGTCGCTGTCCAAGCTGCAGTTGCTCATGCCGCTAACAGCCTCCTCGTTGTCGTCGTCGACGCTAGAGTCGTTGCTGGGGCTTTGCGGGATGCCAGGAAGCGCTACTAGCTCCTCCATTCTGAATCTTCTCCGGTGATACACCTGGCCAAATTTAGACAATGTGAAGGTATCACCTTCCTGTTAAAAACCACTTAAGTACGAAAATCAGTGGACAAACTTTAACGGCGTTTATCTCGATAACGCAAATGGTTAACTAGCGTCACGGTGTTTTGCGCGGTCTCATATTCAGCTAAGTGCGAGCCAAACATTGGATGTGAGCTTCCAGTCACTTTTTTGCTGCATTCACAGGGACAATGAAATGGCCTATAGAGGCCTGTAGGCTGAGAAATCGCCATTTTTCGTTATACGCATGCTTAAAGCCTCGGAGCCATGTGTTCCTCAGGCAGCAAATTCATTAATGAGGGGAGTGAGAGGGACCACTAATTGAGGTGACCTTGGAGCCTGGATATAGGATAAATTATTAGCCAATGAAAGGTTGATTGCCTCCAATTGGATCTTATCTACCAATGAGCTAATGTTACTTGTCTTGGAATAGACACGCGCTGCCATCAGTGGCTATCAAAGCGCCACATGTAGGCCGACTGCCGACAGAGCTCAATCGAATTAGTCTTCTTTTTTCATCAGCTACTAAGCAGAGCTCTGACCCCCTCCGACCGCAGCGCCGTAGCTCAACTGGTAGAGCCAGGGTTTACCCTGAGGATCCCGTTCAAGTCGGGCCGGCGCTATCCTTTGGGACATGGTGGGGATCTTAACAGCTAACCAACGACGCTAGTGACGACTACAGCTTCTGGATAGAGCGACGTTGGTGACTGGTAAGGCTGCTGGGGAGGACGACGCTGGTGACTGCTGCGGCTGCTTGGGAGGACGCTGTTGGCGACTGCTACGTCTGTAGGATAGTGCGGTGCTGGTTCGTGCTGACGTTGCTGCCGAGAAATGCGTTGGTTTGTGCTAGAGAGGACGGCGATGATTCGTGCTGCCGTTGAAGGAGATCGTGCTGAGTGGTCACCGCTGTGAGGTGCAGCACCAGGTTTGTTGGTGGTGAAGAAGCAGTTCGCTGTACGAAATGCGTTGTATTGCAACTAACTGTTCTAACTGTGAATGTAATTGTATTTAAGAGGGTTTAGACGTGCCTCACCACGGCAAGTATGTCTTTAGTGTCTGCTGGAGCAGGGTCAACTATTCTACCGGTGGCAAGGAGGCGCTTGTACGCGCTTATGCGATCATCCAACGCCCTAGACTTGTGGAATGGTCGTAGCGCGCGCAGAACACTGCCAGCTCCCTTCGCATTAACGCCTTGCGACTTTAGAAACCCGAGAACAGCTTCTTCTGCCCTGCGGCCGGTCGAGAACTTGGTCTTTGTAGTCCCCAGCTTGGATGTCGAATGCGATACCATCTGCCAAGAAGATCTTCATGAATGCGATGACGTGGCGCGACTCGGACTTCTTTTGACGGTCAGTACTTCTCCACACAGGAGGCGTCTTAGTGTACCACTCGTACCACGTGGCGGACAGGTTCGTTGCTTGCTTTTTCCTTCGCTTAGGCTTTGGCCCTTGATCTGACGATTCTTGCTCTTGTTGTTGCTCTTCAGCTGCTGCCTTGTTTACACAGCTGGACTGCGAATTGAGTAGCGCGGCCTCGACGATGGTCATGCGTTCTGCTAGGACACGATTGGATGCAACTAACTCTTAAAATGACAGCCAAAAGATGATTCATTGCCGGACACGTGTGCGTTGCTTCTTGGATTTCTTCTTTGTCTTGAGCAGGTACATCCACTTTCTCGTTTAGCGCTATAGAAGTCTGCAAGGGGGATGTCAGCAGCAACCAGGCGCTCTTCAACGCGCATGACTATGGGTGATTCCTATGGGCAAGAGCCTTGAGCTGAGGATAGTGTCGGACAAGGTAAGCTGTGCGTACGCCTAGAGCCTTTGTACTCACGTTTAGCCTGCGCTCTTTGAGACCTGCACAGGTGGCGAACAACAGCTCCTGTAACCGTTTAAGATGCTCGGGCGCCGTGCAGTCCAGCAAAGTCGTGTCGATCACCTTAGGAGCAGCGTCGGCACTCCAGCCGCTCAAGACGCGCGCCACCTTCCTGTCCTCCCGCGCGGTGTTGGTGAT